GGTAGTATAGGTGACAGTTGGTCCATGTCAGGTAGTATAGGTGACAGTTGGTCCATGTCAGGTAGTATAGGTGACAGTTGGTCCATGTCAGGTTAGTATAGGTGACAGTTGGTCCATGTCAGGTAGTATAGTGACAGTTGGTCCATGTCAGGTAGTATAGGTGACAGTTGGTCCATGTCAGGTAGTATAGGTTGACAGTTGGTCCATGTCAGGTAGTATAGGTGACAGTTGGTCCATGTCAGGTAGTATAGGTGACAGTTGGTCCATGTCAGGTAGTATAGGTGGACAGTTGGTCCAGTATATAGTGACAGTTGGTCCATGTCAGGTAGTATAGGTGACAGTTGGTCCATGTCAGGTAGTATAGGTGACAGTTGGTCCATGTCAGGTAGTATAGGTGACAGTTGGTCCATGTCAGGTAGTATAGGTGACAGTTGGTCCATGTCAGGTAGTATAGGTGACAGTTGGTCCATGTCAGGTAGTATAGGGTGACAGTTGGTCCATGTCAGGTGACAGGTGGTCAGTATAGGGTGACAGTTGGTCCATGTCAGGTAGTATAGGTGACAGTTGGTCCATGTCAGGTAGTATAGGTGACAGTTGGTCCATGTCAGGTAGTATAGGTGACAGTTGGTCCATGTCAGGTAGTATAGGTGACAGTTGGTCCATGTCGGGTAGTATAGGTGACAGTTGGTCCATGTCAGGTAGTATAGGTGACAGTTGGTCCATGTCAGGTAGTATAGGTGACAGTTGGTCCATGTCAGGTAGTATAGGTGACAGTTGGTCCATGTCAGGTAGGTAGTATAGGTGACAGTTGGTCCATGTCAGGTAGGTAGTATAGGTAGTAACAGTTGGTCCATGTCGGGTAGTATAGGTGACAGTTGGTCCATGTCAGGTAGTATAGGTGACAGTTGGTCCATGTTGGGTAGTATAGGTGACAGTTGGTCCATGTCGGGTAGTATAGGTGACAGTTGGTCCATGTCGGGTAGTATAGGGAACAGTTGGTCCATGTCGGGTAGTATAGGTGACAGTTGGTCCATGTCGGGTAGTATAGGGAACAGTTGGTCCATGTCGGGTAGTATAAGTGACAGATGGTCCATGTCGGGTCGTATAGGTGACAGTTAGTCCATGTCTGGTAGTATAGGTGACAGCTGGTTCATGTCGGGTAGTATAGGTGACAGTTGGTACATGTCGGGTAGTATAGGTGACAGCTGGTCCATGTCGGGTAGTAAAGGTGACATTTGGTCCATGTCGGGTAGTATAGGTGACAGCTGGTCCATGTCGGGTAGTATAGGGACAGTTGTCCCGTGGGTAGTATAGGTGACAGCTGGTCCATGTCGGGTAGTAAAGGTGACATTTGGTCCATGTCGGGTAGTATAGGTGACAGCTGGTCCATGTCGGGTAGTATAGGGGACAGCTAGTTCATGTCGGATAGTATAGGTGACAGCTGGTCCATATTGTGTAGTAAAGGTGACAGTTGGTCCATGTCGGGTAGTATGGGTGACAGTTGGTCCATGTCGTGTAGTATAGGTGTGGCAGATCGGACCATCTGAGCGACGCTTGACTGGCTCGTGTTCGCGATATTGGTACGTTTCTTTTGGTTAGATGGTGTTAGAATTGATTCCCATTGTGTGTTCTCGCTAGGAGATAGTTTGATGGCAGGTCGCTATAGCTGATTTGTTGGTTTGCTAGTAGCTGTCAGTATTTTGTTATTCATTGGTTTGCCAGTTGCTTGGTTAGTTTTCTGCTGGTCTGCTCATATACCTTTTTGTTGTTCTTTAGTATACTTAGTGTTTGGAGTGTGTCATCAAGTATTATTGTTTTATGTCGTCAAGTGAATAAAGTTTCTGTATTTGTTGACTTACATTTTTGTTATTTTAGTTAGTGTGCCTAGGTTTTACTGTTACACTATATTAGACCCCACACAGAAGATTTCCTGTCAGGGTGAGATATTTTTGAGCTTACCCACGCCTAAACGCCCCTTTCAACTTTTTTCTTTTTACTGAGGCAACTTAAGGTTTGGTTTTGGTTACCAATCGCCACGTGACATCGTTAGAACTCTTGTAGGTTCGGAGTCGAGGAGATTTCAAGGAGTAGATTTCCATATTATCTTTTATAGTTATCTCTTCTCTTTTCTCCATTACAAGACACTTCCTCTGCTTTGCTTCTAGTACACTAGTGTTAAGTACTATAGATGCAACGCTAAGGTATCGTTCGAAGAAGGCAGTGCACACATAGGCATATCCAGAATGCCATGACGCTATCATGATTACCTGACCCGGGAGCGAAGCCTAGTCAAGCACGACTATGTCGAATTCAAAGTCAAGCAAACATATAGCGTTATGGTTCGCTAGCATGTCTGCCGGCCCGATCATAGACAGGCAGACAGATAGACAAATCGACCGACTGACAGACAGACATATCAACTGATAGACCGACAGATACACAGACAGACAAACAAACGGACCGACAGACAAAATAAAGACTGTTAAATCGACCGACAAACAGACAATTAAAAAAACACTCACCCTAGAAACAATAAAGAATGTGACTCTTATTTCCTGAATGTTAAAGTTCCTGCGATATGAAGCAGACAAAGAAAGTGTTCACACACACACACACACACACACACACACACACACACACACATACACACACACACACACACACACACACAATCACACATCACACACGTAAGAACCATAGTGAGAAAACGGCTAACTACAACAACTGGAGCACTGTCATAAAACAACATGGACACGGCAATATACTTTACTAGCATCAACTGTTGTTAACATCGGTAACATCAAAAGAAACATTAAGTAAAAAACGAAGAAAAAGAAAAAGTTTTAAATGCTATTCCTGTGATAATATTTTGTAGATCCCCACAAACAACGAAGGTATTTGAGTGAGTGTTTATGTTTCCTGTGAGGGAAGATAACCGAAGGAATGTTTCAGTGAGAGACCTGTGTGCAGGCATCAATCATCACCAGAGAATGTTGATACGCATCTGAAGCTGAGAGGGATTGCTACCCCAGGAATCAAAAGCTTCGACGCAGCAGCACCGTAATCTGGAGGCACAGAAACTTTGAGCACCCCCCTCTCCCCCTGCATACCCCCCTCCCCTACCCCCGGCTGTGTACAATTTCTTTTTATAAGCTTTTCTTTTAAGGTTTTTCCGTTACTACGAAATTAATACTATTACTTATTTGCTAGCTTGAATACCGCCGCCCTAATTTGGGACGCAATTTTTAATTTCTTGAAAGCTCTATTGTCAGGGGCCCAAATGTGCACTAACGGTTAAGCGGGGTTTCTGGGACGTGTGCCTGGCTGATTCTCGTTCGAATGGTGGCACTTTGTGTCACTGGGAGTTAAATAGCTCGTCGTGCGGTCCTGGTGCGGTTGAACAGTAACTCAGTTCTTTAGTATCGCCAGTTGCCTTGTAGATGGAAGGCGTCCTCACATAACTGATTTATAGTTGAATGGGCTGCATGAGATTTGCCCCTGCTGGATTCGTATTTAAAAAATGGCTCTTTGAGTCTGTAGGTGTCAACCTTCGAGTCAGATGGTATCAACAGTTGAGTCAGTGGGTATCAACAGTTAAGTCAGAGGGTATCAACAGTTGAGCCAATGGTTATCAACTTCTGAGTCTGTGGGTATCAACCTCTGAGTCAGTGGACATCAACCTCTGAGTCAGTGGACATCAACCTTTGAGTCAGTATTATCAACCTTTGTTTCAGCGGGTACTAAATTTTTAGTCTGTGGGTACCAACCTTTGAATCAGTTGTATCAACCTTTGTGTCAGTGGGCATCAACCTTTGAGTCAGTTGTATCAACCTTTGAGTCAGTGGACATCAACCTTTGAGTCAGTGGGTATCAACTTTTGAGTCAGTTCAGTTGTATCAAACTTTGAGTCAGCGGGTATGAACTTATCAACCTTTGAATCAGTTGTATCAACCTTTGAGTCAGTTGTATCAACCTTTGAATCAGTTGTATCAACCTTTGAGACAATGGTATCAACCTTTGAGACAGTGGGCATCAACCTTTGAGTCAGCGGGCATCAACCTTCGAGACAGTGGGTATCAACCTTTGAGTCAGTGGGCATCAACATTTGAGACAATGATATCAACATTTGAGCCAGTGGGCATCAACCTTTGAGACAGTGGTATCAACCTTTGAGTCAGAGGGCATCAACCCCTGAGACAGTAGTATCAACCTTTGAGTCAGTTTAGTGGCATCAACCTTTGAGTCAGAGGGCATCAACCCCTGAGACAGTAGTATCAACCTTTGAGTCAGTTTAGTGGCATCAACCTTTGAGTCAGTGGGTATCAACCACTGAGACAGTGGTATCAACCTTCGAGTCAGTGGGCACCAACCACTGAGACAGTTGTATCAACCTTTGAGCTGCAATTCCAGAAAAATTAAAATTTTTTTTAATTGTTAAACGGGGTTTCTGGGATTTACTTTTAGGCATGTTTCATTGGGCAATAATTACAAAATTTACTGCCAAATTAATGACAGTCTGTGGTAAATATTTCATGACAATTAATGCTGCGAATACAAGATACTGGTAAATAGCCACAATAATCACGTACCTAACAACATACAGACTGAAGAAAGAAAAAAAGGGGGGGGCGGGGGGGGGGGGGGGGTAAGGAGCGCTGGAAAAAGCTGAAGCCTTTACATACCTTGGCTCCGACATATGCAATAATGGCAGCTGCACCAAACAGATCGAGACAGTCTCGATATAGCAACTTCCGCGATATCCCCGTTGAATAAAATGTGGAAGAGCAAACGCTTTGTAGGCAGTAGTGAAAAGTTGCAAGCTAGTTTAGTTCGGGCACGTGGTGAGACATGATTCGACCTCAAAGACTTACTTCAGGGAAAATTGTTGTTGGGAAAGGGGTGGGGGGGGGGGGGGGAGAAGTATAGGGCAAAGAAGGACCTGGAATGACAACAGTGGACAGGACTGAGTTATCATGCACTTGTTCAGCAAGCGACAAAGAAAGATGGCGGGATTTGTTTATTCGTGTTTCCATCGTTGCACTTTCACGACCCTAACGGATCAAGGTATATGTAATGCTATGTTATGTAATAATAAAACATTATCATTATTATTATCTGTTGACTGGCAAATTTAAAAAAAAATGTGAATAAATATGAAATATACAAATTCTGTAAAAGAGAACACCTTTATTTAGTAAGATGGTGGATGGAGGGTTGTTTTTGCTGTTTTTGTTATTGTTAATATTATCACCATCATCATCTATCATTAGATAGCATTTGTTTAATTATGCAAATAAATCTTTGACTTACCGAAGGCGTTGGCTAGACAGATGGGATCCTCGACTGTTGTATTACAACTAGGTCATGAACATACAAATGCATATTCTCACAGATCAGTACCATTAGAGAAAACAAACGAACATCCCTATAACAAAATATCATATTCGAGGTCTATAAGGGAAGAAGCAAAGAATAGCAGCACTCTGGCCTACCATGATTGCAGCATGAGGCGATCAAGGAGGGTAGGTGCGAGAATACTAGTTGCAAAATCCAACGAATAATAAACATATCAACAGAGACCTTAATGTGAGAGTTTGAAGAAGCAGAAAAAGAAGATTAGGAAGAAGAAAGAAGAAGAAGAAGAAGAAGAAGAAGAAAGAAGAAGAAGAAGAAGAAGAAGAAGAAGAAGAAGATGGATGAGGAGGAAGAAGAAGGAGGAGGAGCAAGAGAAGGAGGAAAAGGACGAGGAGGATGAGGAGGAGAAGAAGAAGAAGAAGAAGAAGAAGAA